CTGTAGTAGTTGACCGAATCGCTTTGAATTCCTCCGTTTCCTTGGCTCTTCACCTCTCCCCTCCACATAGGACTCGCTTACTTGCCCCGCTGGTGCTTCACAAAATGCTTACACTGCGATGTCTGAACGCTCATGGCATTACGCCGAAGTTCTCATTTTTTTTTTTGCGTTTTTGTATATGTATGCAAATGCAAAAACACATATTGTGACGACCACGATGTGCGTGTGTGTGTCCGTATGTGTGTGTATGTTTGTGTGTGTGTGTATGTTCGTGTGTGTATTTTGTGTGTGTTTTTATGTTTATGTGTGTGTGTGTGTGTGTACGTGTGTGTACATGCGTGCGTTTCCAGGTATTTCAACTCGGCAACCAACCAAGCTTCGGCGCCAAAATTTCGCTTGCGGGTTCCCCGGCCAGGTGCCATCCCAGGGTCGAGGTATCAACCCTCATGCACGCCTGGACCCCGAGTACAACTACATGAAAGTACTGGCGGGAAAGTCGCTAACACGGGAACCAAAAAAGCTGGAAGGCTGAAACTTTTCGAGGATGTCCCACGTCCACGTAGAACTCAAAGATTTCAAATTCAGCCACCAATTTTGCATGATTCTCATGTACAGCCCCATAAAATTTTTTGAGCGGGAAATTGCTAGCTCGGAAACCAGAAAGCTGGAAAGCTGAATTCTTGAGGGAATGTCCTCTGTTCACGTAGAACTCAAAAATTTCAAATTCATCCCCCATGTGCGTGGTTTTCACCTGCGATCCCCTGAAAATTTTTGGCGGGAAAGTCGCTGACTCGGAAGCCAAAGAAGCTGGGAAGCTGAAATTTTAACGGAATGTTCCTTTTTCAAGTACCACATGGTGGTTGTACAGTTAACTTCCTGGACTTCGAGGGCCAGTATGTTACAAATTCTAGCTATTGTGATTCCAAGCGATCTTACTACAGCACGAAATACTGCAAAAACGCATAATCCCACGGGCGCGCCTGGTGTGCGTCGCCAGTGATTACCTCTGAGTGCTCATATTATTACGCCAGATCCTCAGTTTCTTACACCAGAATTCCCGCGTTGTTACGCCTTGACCCTTACGTTGCTGCGCCAAAGTCCCCACGTTGCTGTG